AACTTGTCTGCAAAGTAATGCCCCCAATCCCACAGTGCTCCTGCATAAGACTCAAGTAGTGAAGGTGATGGTGGTATATCCCCACCCAACTAGTTTGATGGAAACTGGTGACTATTATTATGCAGGTGTACACTTTGGTTGCCCTTTTCCTGCAGTTGAGCAAGAGATCTCCACGGTAAAACCAGTTTGCATGGGTGGATGCCTTTTACTGAATTGGAAAAGCCTTCTGTGGGCAAAGTGGCTCCTTCCATCTTCAGAAGGCATCTGAGCCACTAACGCTTCCCTGCTGCTTTCACAGAAAAGGAAGGACGTGATGGTCTCCTTGCCCCTTTCTGCCAGTGGGACTATTCTAAGCATAACACTACTTGGCTGCAATCTTGACAGCAGGATTGCAGTTGGAGGACACTCCAACCCAACAATATATTCCTCTGAAGTCATTCTACTGCAGCCTCACATCACAGCCTTATTGGATACAGCAGCAAAACTATGTCAAACAATTCTGTCCATTTTTTCCTTTTTTCCTGTGCCATGAATTAGAGCAGTTGAACAATAAATCAAATGCTGATGCCAGGGATATAGCTAGCCCAAGGTATTTTGCTGCCCGAGGCAAAGGACAGGTCTCAGCACCATGCCATTCCATGCACAAAAGTTGACCAGACCTCTGCCTGACTCTTAGTGTGGTGCCATGGACAAGAGAGCATCCTCCACTGCACCTGAAAGCAGGAGGGTGGGTCACATGACACACAGACCACCCTGTCCTCCAGCATCCTGCCCACAACATCTGCTGCCTGAGGCAACAGCTCCTCTGCCTCATGGAAGGACCAGCCCTGTCAAGGGACCAGAAGACACTGGAATCAGCCTGCAGATTGATGAGGGCATGCAGCAGGGTTCATGCTCTGATCCCATGCTCAAACCTGATCTCCTTTGTAGAAGCAACAGTATTCTTTTTTTTTTAAACTGGTGTGTGATTCAGATCTCTTGTTAACTGTACAAGTCACTTGCATTTCTTTTATTACCCTATGGAATGACCAAGCCTAGCCTACAAATGAGCAGACAAGAAATATACTGCCCCTTAATGAAATCGGCAACTCAATCTATAACCCAACTAAGTGAAACTAAGGGTACTAAGATTTATACTGATTTTATTCCATTGCTTTCATTGAGGCTAATTAAATGCAAATCCAACTGCTTCTGCTTAACTGAGTTGGGTATTGGGCTGTAAGTGTCTTTCTTACACCAGAAAAACTCCAATTAACAACACAAAGTGCACCATTGTATAGGGAGCCAATTAAGATAAGAAGGAAGAATAGCAAAACCCAGGCACATTTAACCATGTCTCTAAATCTGAGCTCATAAAATCTCTTCTCTGCAGAAATCTGGATAGGAGTTCAGTCTTATCTGCCTGTTCAGGCTCCGTCCAGAGCAGTGCCTCACAAGTCCGCTATGGAGCCCACAGACTGGATTAGCAGACCTCACGTTTGCTTGGAGGTAAGCCCATTGTGCTCATTAGCGGCAAGTGCAGTTGCTAATCTATACATGTTCTGAAAGGGTCTGCAAGGAGCCTATAGATAATGACAATGCATAGAGAGACAGGGTGGTACCCGGCAGTGCATTGTTGATTTTCACCTTCACCCCTGCAGAGTCATTATATGCAGGTGAATGTCTGTCTTCGGATATGAGAAAGAAGAAAAGAGGATTGAACACAATGGAGAAAAACTCCAAGAATGTTGCAAGTTTCTGGGGGAGAGTTTTAAACCAATTCTGTGCTTGAAATATGGGTCCTATATTGTAACAAAGGACTTGTACAGTCTCCTAGTTAGGATCCAAGAAATGGGTAAGGGAGTGTTTGAGTGTAAGAGAGACTGTGTAACTTTCTTGCTTTTTAAATATATGCAAATGAGAACCCGTGTGGCGCAGTGGTACAACATTAGACTGGGATTTGGAAAATTCAGGTTCTAGTCTGCATTTGACCATGATGTTTACTAAATGGCTTTGGGCCAGCCTAGCCTACCCCAGAGAGTTGAGAGGAAGAGAACCATGTATGCCAGCTTGCCTTTTAAGAGGGAAAACTAGCAACCCTTCTAAGAAGAAAAATGGGTTTATAGATCAAAATTAAATAAATATAAAACATGTTCATCTAATTAATGAATAAAGCTTATCAAGCTTTTAAAAATTTATTTTAAAGGAAGAAGCTGTTGTAAGAATCAAAACTCTTTCTATATCAGTAACTAACTCAGGCTTTTCATTTACTTTAATAATGAGTGGATCCAGTTTTGCTTTCTTGCTTAGATGCTCTTTTTATCCCATTAGACTACCTGCTTTGGCTACATTTGCCATACTTTCGACATTAAGGAAAAGGAAAGCAGATGCAGCAGAGCAAATGGGTGATTTATAATAGTCAGCTTGAATAAGGGAGGAATAGAGCGCAATAATTTATAGGAGTAAAGGTATTGAAATAAAAATCCGAAACCCCCTTCTTCCCTTTCCCCATTTTAGAATGCAATTAAACATGTTATACAGGAATGGGCCCCTATTATTGAACTCATAAAAGATGACTCCACCAAAGAACAGTCAAAACCATGAGGAAAATATGGAATCTTCTGGGAAAAGAGTGATTAATTCCTGACTTTGTTTGGGTCACTATGTCTACATTTCCTTAATCATTCATACAGTCCTCTATTGAGTGTCCTCATAACTACTCCTGAACTCTTAAAGGAAGCTTCTAATAATTTTGCTCTGGTGCAAAAGATCCAGCTGTCCAAAGAAAGACAGCAAGGTACTGAGAGAAACAAGTCTCTAGGAACATTCCCATTTATGATGAAGATTGTAAAAAGACATAGAAGGGCCTGTAGGTTTTGTACCTGTCCTTGCTGGGACAGAACCTTCAAGAGATATGGAGGCAGATTCTGCTTCAGAGGAAGAGAAGGGGTTGGCATTTGCAGCTGAAATGCCAAGGAGACCAGTGACTGATGAGAATCAGCCCATTTCAGATTCAGTGGGAAAGGCCATGCTAATGAGGAAGAGGACAGATGAGACAACGTTAATCCCCGGGTCAGGTGCATTGCCCTTAAGCAGGAGGCCTGACTTGGTAATTTTGGTTTGGAAGGGAGGACAGGTATTCTGTTTGGAATCAACTACTTATCATTAGGTGACCTTTCTCTAATGGCTAGTAGCTTAACTTTGCTTATTGCTTTTGTAACTAGCTGCGGCAATATTATTCATCTGTACTTTAAAAAATAGCCTGGTGGATCAGAATTAACATGATAAAGACTTTAAGTTAAAAAGGTTCAGATCTGCTTAAAAGCAGAGGAAAGGATGGTCATAACTGCTTCTGGCTAAGCTTTTCCCTCAGGGAGCAGCCAAAAAGAAAACAGGATCTGTCAGGGGAAAGAACTAAGATGATAAAAGAGAAGGACGTGTTTGGTTGGTTGGTGAGGGAGTGGGAGGAAATTACTGCCAGGGGTATTGCTGAAGCTATCCAAAGCAAGGTGACAGAATGGAGGATTGGCCATTGATTTATTGATTTATTAGATTTGTCTCCCATTCTTGCCTTACATCATTCTCCCCCCTCCACTCAATATTATGCCCACAACAACAGCCCTGTGAGGTAGGTTGGGCTGAGAGGCTGTCACTGGTGCAAAGTTAACCAGTTGGTAGCATGGTGAGCAGGGACTAGAACCCAGATTACCAGACCTGCACTCTTAACCACCACACCACACTATTTATGCTGGAGCATCAAGCTTCGGGGGGATTTAGGAAATCTGCACTTGTGCTAAGCACAAGCAGGTATTAGCACTAATGGGCACTTGCACAAGTGGAACAAATTCATCATGCATCCGGAAGGAAGGAAGGAAAACAATTACCCTACCAGTGAGAGGATATTACAATAAAATATCCCTGTCCGTCTGTGAAATACATACGGAGGTGTAAAAATATCCATACAATACTAGCTTTACATAGTGGTGCAACAGCCCAGTAGTATGCCCCACTGGAAAGAGAATGGCCTGACAGGAATGACTCTGCATCATCACGTGACATCATTCCCAGGAACATTCTTGATGTACGTGTGTGTGTGTGTGTGTGTGTGTGTGTGTGTGTGTGTAAATATATATATAAAGCCATACTGTCATTCCTACTGGGTCATTCTGTTTGAAAGGAGGAATGCTATTGGGCTGCTGTTACTACAGCTGCTCAGCCAGCTTGAAGCAAAGTCAAAGCTTTCTTTCTAAATAAATCTAAGGAAGGCTGCAACCTTCTGTTGTTTTGTTTCTGCCACGGAAAGCCACTCCTGCCTCTGAAAAATATTCTAATTTTACCCACCCGCAACAGTCATCTTTGGTCTGGCCATAATATGGATCACTGCCTTCATCTATGGTCCTAAATTCAGAAGGATAAAGGGAATTTTTTTCAGTCCCAAAATCACAATGAGAAATGGGAAATTAAAAGGGATTAAAAGAAAAAATTCATTCTGGGTACTCAGCTCCAAAATCAACCTGATGCCACCATTAACATGGAACATAATTATTCTGTCCAATTTTCAAAACCAAGGGCTCCCCTCAAAGATACTTTTTAAAAATGATGTAATTTGGTCTTATTTTTTCCCACTACCTCGTTGCAATAACTGCGATGCTACATAATCAGCTTGTATAATTTACCTCTAGTCTATATCGCTCAGGTCCGACATGAAATGGTAAATTAAATGAGTCTAGAAAGCAACATTTCAGAAATCCAGGAAATCAACAGTCAACCATGCATGTTATGAGGAACTCAGGGAGAATACGCAGCTATTCAAGCTGTTAGGTGTTAACTGTGGTGAGTTTGGGCAAAGAGACTGAGATGCTGAAGTTGCTGCCAATCTCTTCTGTGCAAAGTGGGTTCCTTCCAAAAGAGTGGGGAAATTCCAAAAGAATGGATGGGTAAAAAGAAACAAAAGTGAATAAATTAACCACCAGCATCATAAACAAAAAAAGCCAAAGTGTAACAAGGAACCGGTGAGTCCACTAGATGAAGTATTCCCGCTTGCACTCGCTCACTGTGTTCTGCAAGTCAACATCAGTCTTAAAAGAACTATCAAGGTGTCCAGGGTATTCCTTTTCTTTTGTCTGGCTGCTCCGATGTGTGTGTTTGTGCTGGTAAAGAAATCTGCTCATAATGGCCACGATGCAAAAGATGATGAAGATCACCACTGCTATAACACCTGAGAAAACACAAAAAAGAGACAAAATAATAAAGGGAAAAACAGAGTGAAGACAAGAGATTGATGGCTCTGCCTCTTTCATCTTCTCTCAGTTTCTCCAGTCTTAAGTTTGTTTTTTCCCAAACCTTGAATATTTTTCCAATTTCCAATTCAGTGTGTCCTGAATTTAGAATTGATTTGGAAAGGCAATATTGTGTACATTTGTCCAATATATGCAATTTGTGTGCAAAAAGAAGGGGGAAATTTCATTGTGTCTGCTTGTATGACACTGGATATAGCTCCAGATCTCTTCTCCAAGAAGACAGAAGCCTAAATATATAGTATTGTATTATTATTTTTTCTGTTATGTCACTTTGAGCACCCATCTTTCCATGCATTTGTGGTCACAAAGGAACAACTGAACGTGTCTAGTGGCCCATGTTTTGGGATTTAAGACATTCATACTTTTAACTGGGTTCTCAATCCACTGGATTGGAATAGGTAAACTTGATGGATATGGTGCTGATTTCATTACATTTCCATAGGTACTATAATTCACCTTGCTGAATTATGAAGACCAAGGGTCATAAAGTTTGATTACTTTTTATAAGATTGCTTTGCTATAAGGCAAGGTTGAGTCAAAGAAGATGATTTCTTCAGGAGGTTCAGGATAACTGGCTGGACTTCTAGTTAGCTTCATAAGTCTACCATGTAGTTTACAGGACTGAACTAAGACATTCTTATAAGTCTAGGCAAACCATAAATTGATAACAGTTGCATTAGAACTTCACACCTTAATTTAGTTTCAAGCCATTATGTCCTGGTGAGTTCTCTTTGTAATAGTTTTTAACATTTAAGTTGCAATCCCGTGGTCACTGGGTGTGTCTTGGATCTACAGTATAGAATGGATCTTCCCTTCTGAGGCTGGAGAAAGAGGTCCATCCTTGGAGAAGAGAGGTCTGGTCTCAGATGTCCCCCTCTAGTCCCCATGGAAATCTCAGATGCTTTTGCCTATCCAATGAAACAGCTTCAAAAGTGAGAGAGTCACAATGATGGTTAGAGGCAGGGAAGGAAAAACTCTCTGGAAAACATTATTTCCCTTTGATTGGTTCCAGGAGTTTCTTTAGCAGCAGCAGCAGCATGGGCACAGAACAGGAAGAGCCATATTAGAGAAGAGTTCCTTGCTTAACTTAAAAAAGTAAGTTACCTCCAATTACAGCTGAATCACTCCTTACGGCATTGGTGAGTGGCTCTTTCTCATCTGCCTTTCCAAATGGATCTGCAATTAATGAAGAATACAAATAATTCTTACTCGGGCAAACCCAGAATGAAAGATACATTCTTAGCAGCAGAGAGTGAAGTAAGCAGAAAGTGCTGGCTGTATTGTCTCCTTCAAGTTGTTCTTCTTAGATTATTTGGCCAAGGCGTTGAGAATGATACACCAATCATCTAAACTCAGCACTTATTTAAGAGTAAGAGTCAGATTTTTGTCCAGGGTTACAAACTTTTCTAATTTCTCAGAACAAAGCAAACTCCCAGACCACTACAGAGTATTTTCCCTACTGTGTAAAGTAACAAAAGACAAAAATGACAATGCCCTAGTAGAAGAGAAAGGAAATGTAAGACTTAAGGACAGTGGTGTCATGTTATTGCAATTAATATTTAAATTGACTACAATTTACCATGTTGTAGTCCTTGAACACCTAATTGTAAATACTGCTCACCAAATTCAATGAGACATGTTTCTGAAGAAGCATGAATAAGATTATACTGCTAGATAATCAAATGTTTTGATAAGCAGGAATGTTTCTAGAACAGCTTCCCCCGACATGTGCATTGACACGTACTATATTCTTGAATACCTAACAATTTCATCTTGAATACCTAGCAATTTCATACAGCTGATGGCTAAATCACAGATGTTTTTACTGTACATGCCCTTGCCATATAATGAATCTTGCTGGCTTAGCCAGGAGCACTATGGTTTGATTTTTCCCTTTGTGATGAAACACTTTGGTTGTAAAACGCTGTACATCAGGGGTCTCAAACTCAACTTACCTGGGGGCCGCTGGAAGTAGAGTCTGGGTGAGGCTGGGCCGCATCAAGTATTCCACCCCCGCGGTGGTGGTGGGCCGCTCATCCCGTGTCGCTCCCGGAGGCCGGCCCGGGTGCTGCCAGCGCTTTGAAGGCCACAGGGCCCCTCCCCCGTGCCCCACCTATCCCGGAAAGTGGCCCGCGGGCCACGAGTTTGAGACCCCTGCTGTACATCGATCCTTCTAATATAACTGTATTAGAACTTACCAACTTCAGGTAGTAACACAAAATAGGAACGTGAAGAGTTATCCACACTTATCTGTGAAATGGTAGCAGAAAATCTGATTACTGATCGCCACCTCAAATGATTGGCAGTCCGAACCAGGAAGTTGAATCTTGTTCATGGGGGAAATTTATGATGTAGGTGATAGATAGGAAAAAAATGCCAATCTTTGCTTTCTCTGCATGTAACAACACGCCATTCTAGTCCAGAGCTGACTCAGAGTTCCATTGCTCAATGGCAAGGGCAACTTCATGTATGCTAATTACAGAAACAGATTTTTATTTTCCACCTGTCAAATTTAGAAAACACTAGCAGTAAGTTATGAATCAGCCTTGAAAATCAGTCCAGGCAATGCATGTTTGGGCTCTGTTTTCAAGCCCAATAAACAGCATTCACCATGGAAGCACCAGTGATCTGGCCAGGTCCAGTTGCAGACTGAGTTGATCAATGAACTTCAAATCAGTCTACAAAATTATTATTCAAATTTATAGTGGCGTCTTTATTACTGATTCTAAGCCTGCAGAATCAGTCTGTCTGTTAGGGAGGTAAGAAAAATTTGTTTCAGTTCATTTTTATCTTTTTAACCCTAATCCTAATTATCATTTAATTTTCACCTTCTGGATAGAACATGGATTCAAACACACTCTCTTCTTACAGTCCACACACTTCTGAGCTTGCAACATGATTTGCAAACAAACAAAAATATATTTAACAGAATGCATACATTTGAAAAAAAAATCACATGAATAATGTCTCCAAATATATTTTAATGGGAAAATACTTAGGTTTTAAGCATGTACAGACCTGATGGAAAAATTGGAACAAAAATACCAATGGAATTTCATGCAAAATTAAAACAAAAACAAGCCTGCAATCTGATATGGATACAAATCTGTATGAGATTTAAGAGGGAATCTAAGTAATTTGGTTGTCCATGAGTTTGCTAATTAACACACTGCTAAATTATCTCCTTCCATCCCTCTGTGTCTTTCTCCTTCTTTCTTGTGCATATACATCCACACACACACAAACTCCTGTGCTACCCTATCAAGATCCCTTAATGTAGTTTTCAAAACAAAATACCAAAATTTCAATATGACAGAATTAAAATAGAGTAATAAAAGCAAGAACAACTGCTCTTGGATCATTTGCACCTGTACTATTTTTAAAAATTATGCTAATTTTTATGCTATATTTAATGCAAGCAGTGTAGTGTGCCGTTTCTGACAAAATGGTAGGTAGGGCACAAATTAAAATTAATCAATCAATACTTATTATACAGTGCCCTTTTTAGCTCAAGGAATACTACCAACTACAATATAAACAATGAGACATTTCATGTGTGTGCCATAGGAGGTATACATGGCTGCTCCACCTCACTTGACTGGACATATATCTGCCCAGGAAGCAGTTGTTTACAGAATTAATTTCAAAGTGACTCTTCAAAATCCATTGACAGGGAATTTCCCCTCAAACCTCTTCTGTGCTTCCTGTTTGAGCTACAGGGAATTAGGGCAGAGAAAAAAACTGCACATTGTGCTTCACCTTGCCTTTCTTCCCCACCCTTCCCCTGCATCCAGCGGAGAGGTGGCAAATGAACTCATCTGTGCATTGTACATCCCTCTGCAATTCAGGACCTGAGCTCATTTTACATTTCCAGAATGAATAACATGGAAATAGGGACAATCATAGGAATAAACATCATAGAAATAAATGTCAAACTATTATAAAATCCCAGTTTGATTTTGCTGTCATTGGCTTTGCACTAGCACAAAATGCTTCTGCTTGCATAAGAGGTACAAAATGCCACCTGCCCATTGCATCCATCCACACCATATCCCACACCATTCTATAGGGTCCCCCAACCTGCAGCATCAGGGGACCCATTTTGGGCATTGTGTCTGGGGAGCAGTAGCGGATGGAAGAAACAGCCAAAATGAGAAGATCTGCCATGAATGAACACAAGCACTTTCTGCTAGCGCTGCCTCCACTGGACAAACCCCAATATCCTTATTCTGTATTGGAGTTGCTACACTTACGGCTTCTATTTTTGGAGGACGCATCCATTTCAGACTTTCAAACCTGATAAAGATTTTGAGCAGAGTAATTGATTCCAACAAGAAAAAGAAAGCTTGGCATTCTGTTTACGTATTCTGTATAAAAAGGATGGTACTTTAAATGGTGTTATTTTAAAAGCAGAACACAAAGATTGCTTTGTGACATTCCATTCTTTGATTCTGCACTGTGTTTGCCGCCCTTTATAGGTATTCTTTCCTTCCAGGTATTCTACTCTACAAAGGACAGTCCTCTAATTTGGAGAGCTAGCAGAGGATGGTCCTCTATTGTATGGGCTATATAGGCCCTGCTATGTTTCACAAACACAATTGTCCCCACACCATTGTCACCACTTCCCACTGCTTCTGCTGCATGCCACCTCTCCTCCTGTGTCCACCTGATGCAGCTTTTCGGCCCATGTGCTAAGTCTTCTGCCACGTCTGCCAGCTGCCTCCCCTCACTGCTTCTCCTGCCTTGCTCCTGCTCTGCTCATGCACCACATCAACATCTGGCCAGCCTGTCCTTCTGCTCATTGTCACCTCTGCTCAACTCAGGAAACAAGAAAATATTAGAATGAGAGATAAGTCCACCAACTTTCCTCTCCTTGGCCAGAGAAGTGAATGGTAGGGAGAGAAGGAAAGGGTCTGACTGGAGAAGGTGGTAAGGTCCTGGTAGGTGCTCCATCACATTGTACAAAAACTACATACATCTGTGGCCAGTAGGAACAGTTTTATTCCATTAAAGACATTTTGAAACCCTTAGCAGAAGAAGTGATGTTAAAGAGTGTCCCACCAGGACTAGAACCCCAAAAATTTCACTTGGAGCCCCAGTTTTTGGGAGGCTGCTATCCTGCTGTCCACAGGCAGTTGTTGAAATAAACGTACAGACACCCAGGTGATCTCATTGTATCTCGTTGCACTGGACTAGCTGGCTGTTTGCCTTTCGGGAGCTAACCCGAATCCTAACTCTCTTGCTTGCTTCAAGCTTCCAAAACAACAGGCAGTCTCATCGCAAAATATGCCAATTCACAGCTGACACACCACAGCAACTACAAATCTAGTCTTGGTGCATGAACAAAGTCATGAGTTGAACCCAACCTAGAAACAAGTTCCAGAAACCCCCATTTCAGTTAAGCTGGGCTCCATCCCTCCAAGATCTACACAAGCCCTCTAACTAGGTGACTCTTCTATCCTGAGACTGACAGGGCATGAGCTTGTTTTCCTCCTCTCCTTTGTCCCCTCTCACCTCTTCCAAGCCCTGCCAGTTCCAGTTGTCTGTATGAGAATCTGGGCAGCCTAACCCTCCTCTGACCCCTTGATTCCCACAAGCCACTTCTTCCAGTCTTTAAAGTCCTCATCGGAAAAGTCTGTATAACCCTGACCTTGGAAAGTGCACCAAGAATAACTGTCTTGCCCATTCCCTAAGATTCTGCTCCTGCTCCCTCCCCTTGAATCTTTCTGTCAGATGTGTTTTTATTTATTTCCTCCCATGAAATCAACTGTCCTCCACTTCCCTTCCCGCACATCTCTTGTTACAGATCAGGGTGTCCTAAGGAGACGGTCCTTCACAGCATGTAGAGCACTTGTAAGCTGCTATATGCTCATTTGTGCTTAACTGCTTTAGTCTTGGGCCCAAAACTATCTGGTACTTAGCACCATCCTGCTGAACAGTATCCTACAAGGCCCACACCAGCTTGACTCACAGTTTCTCCAGTGGGCAAGGCCTGCAGTTTTTAAAGCAACGCAGAAACAGGTGGAATTACTTGACCTAGAATGAAGCAGGAAGCAGAAATCAAAGAAGGGAGTTCTACTGCCTGCCCTGAGCATTTCTGTTTATGTCCAGGCTTGCTTTAGGGAGCAGTAACCCCCCATTACACTATCAGTGGGTCCTGCTGATGCAACCAAAAGACTAAACTGCAGCAATAACTCCATTGCTTGGTGCAGAGAGGTTTCCTGCTGATTTTATTATTCCTTCCTTTACTTTTTCTGCATGGATATGCCTGCATTTATAAATGTGTGCTTTGTTGAAAATACTATATTTTTAGAAACGCAACTCTCAAGTGTGTGTATGCATTACAGAATTCAGGCCAATCAGCTTCTTAGAATTATTATTCATTCAACTATAAATAAGATTAGGGAAGTATACAGAGGTGTTTGCTATGAAGAAGCAGATGGCAAATGACAGCAGAAGCTTCCCCAGCCTGGCCCTGGTAAATTCCAAGATCAAGAGGGAAAAAAGTCATAGCAGGCTGCCCACTTTTGATGTGAATTGTTGTATGAATGCAGTATCGGGGGCTTCCTGCTTAGTGGGGCATGCTATTGAAATGCACATGACTGTCCTCCAAGTCATCAGAGAATTAGAAAATGTGGGGCTTTTAAATAACTCCATTTTGCTGGCATTCTAGAGCTTTATTTCTGCGGGGTTAGCAGTAACTTGTAAAATGGCCATCTGGTGGGAATCATCAGTGTGTGGTAATCAGGATGGAGAGAGAAAGCCTTCCCATACCACTGACCACTGAGAAATAAATGGGAGTATGACTGATATGCTTTCCTAAGATGTCAAAAGTGCATTGGCATGGCAGCTGGTGTGTGTTTTTCACAGGATCTTTTTGCTGATCATCTAGAATACTAACAAGCAGGAGTAGACTTGTGTACTCTTTGTGTGTGTGTTAGGGGGAGAGTGAATATATTTTATTTACACCCACCCAGAAAAACACTTAAGGATGCTGTCAAATGATATTAACAAGAAATGTTTTTTCAATAAGTAACAGCAGGGCAATCTGGGCACAAAAAGAGAGCATTGTTCACCACTGAGCAACCATAATTCATTTTTTTATTTTGCAGCAGACATTAAGACCATTTCTTCTTTTCTGCATATGTTTGGGTACAAGACAAAATGAAGTGGGATCTGATGCAAAATTGTACAAAGCTGGGACAACAGAAACTAAAAAGCTTTAATTTCTGCATGTAACTCCTCTGCTGAGAGAAATGTGTCAGATGTCTCTTTGTTACCAGGTCAGGTTTAAGGTTTAGATTCTACTATCTAAAGCCCTAAACAACTTGAGCTCAGCAGACCCAAGGGAGTATTTTTTTTTCTCTTATCAGCCTGCCTGGCCACTTAGGACATCAGAAGACAAGCTCTGAGTAGTTCTGCAAGGACTTCTAGCCCAACGTAGGTCCACCCAGAAAACAGCCCTCAGTGCCAGATCCATTTCTAAGGATCCTACAGTCAACAGGCACCAACATTATGTTGTTTTTGGTGCTTCTGGAAAACATCTTTATTTCAAGAAGTGTTCCTTTATTGAGCAGCCACAGTTTCTTTTTAAAGAATTTACTTTGATATAGTTGTGTTATTCTTTTTGTAGTATGGTATCTTTCATTGTTCCCTCCTTCGGAATCTGCTTAGACACCAAGTGATGTATAAATTTTGTAATAGAATGGTTACCAAGGAGGTTATTAAAATGAGAATATGGATGAGCCAGCCTTTCAGGTCATGGAACTTGAGTATGTGGGGAACAAAATGACACAGAGATTGGATGAACATGTCATGTTTAGACATGGAATTCACTTTCTGTTTAACTGAAGCAGGCTTTCTAAGTTATTTTTGGGTAGCCTATTACTCAATTGTTTTTATCTGAACATCCTTTCATGTGCAACTCACCATTGCATCCATTAATTCCATGCTATAGACACCAGTGGAAAAGTGTAGGTGGATACAAGCTTTGGAATATGTGTGTTCATGCAGTCTGTTCTGGGCTTGCCTCTTACCCTCTCTGGTTTTAAAGAGAGTCGTATTACTTGCTGATGATGATCCCAGCAGTCTATTTCTTGCCTGCAATCATTAAATAGCCTCTAGGGCATCTTAAGTGTTTTGCATGTTGGGAAGAAGAACACATTGTGAAGCCAGTATTATTATCACCATAGACTGGAAGCACAAAAGTGACTGCTCTTGAGCAGAAATGTCCTGCAGGGTGTCTGTTCACAGGGATGATGTCCATACGGTACTGAGAGTCAAGGTGCAGGCTGGTAATACCAGGTCAGAAATAGGTTCATTCAATGTTACTATTCATTTATTATATTTATATCCCACCTGTTTTCTACAAGGAACCAAAGGTGGCTCATATGATTACCCTCCTTTTTATCACATTTTAGGGTTTTTTCCCTGCATTTTATCACAACAAACTTGTGAGGTAGATAGACTGAGAGTGATTGCCTGGCCCAAAGTCAGTCAGTCACTTAGTCAAGGGGGAACTAGAATTTGGATCTCTTAAGCCCCCGTCCAGCACACTAACCATTATACCACACTGGCTCTCTAGGAAAATGTCAGACAGATGAGGAAATGTGTCCAGCAATCTGGACCAGGAAGAAGAGAGTCTTTGTTAGCGCTGGCTGAGAAATGTGCCCTGGCAAGGTCTCCCTGTCTCAGATATATCTGATCCCTACTTTGAATAACAAAATTCAGGATTAGGTGTAGTTCGCAGGAGGACAGCTAACCATTTCTGGGGTTGTGATACATTCTAAAAGGGAAAAAATGCATCCGCAATAGGTATGTATTTGAAAGTGTGCAGTCACTATGTGGCCAAGAGGGACCTATATCTGTTAAGGTAGCCTTTGGAAAAATTCCCTTAAAATATGTACAGGGTTTTTTTCCTCCTATACCTCCCTTACTTATCATGTCAATTGAAATGAATGTGGGTTATGTTAGACTAATGTTGGATAAAGCCCTGAACTTCCGGATGGTACCTTCCCCATCTGTGCTCTGCCTTAGTGCTTTAGCAAAAAGTATAAAAATAGTCAGGAATTCATTTATAATATTGTTGATCTGTAGCATTTGTTCATAGAAAACCCTGCAGGAACGACTTTTGCATTTTTTAAAATCTCAGCCATTCACTTACAATACTGTGAAGTTACCCTGCATGGATCCATTGGTACAACATGAACAAACAGAGCTAGTTAAAACTCTAGCCACATGTCCCAGTTTTACTCAGTTGGATTCTGTGAATTCAAGGTCCCCCATGGTGCTTATATTAGCAGAGGAAGTACAGCACCTCTTTGCCACAGCTCAAGTGCATAGTAAAAAGTAAAAGAATTGAACAAAGGCATTAGAAAGCAGTCTGTAAAAAAAAGGCTGAACATACCTGAGGAAGAGTATATTGTTGTTGCTGTATTTACATCAACATCAACCAATGATCTGCAGTTTGATTCAGACAAGGAACCCAGGACGGTCACAGGTGCTATACTGGGATGCCGCAAAGCCGCTTTCAGTGGAGCTACGTGATTGTACTGGACAGATGACATGCATCCTATGAATCCAAACGAGTTTGCCCTGGAGACCTCCAGATCCAGGCCTTGACTATCTGTAAATGCAAAGCAAAAGGAAGCTCTTAGCCTGCCTTTCTTCCTATAAATTAAAGAGAGTTTAAGATTCATTCCCACCACTTTATCTCAGGGGTTAACAATTATGTGGTCCTTCACAAAGGTTGGCTTACTCCTTCAGCCAACATAGCAAATAGAGAGGGAGGGTAGAAAATGCAGGCAAGGTGACTAGAGAACTACAAATTGTCTACCGGTCAGCGGCCAGTTTCTAAAGAGTTTCTAATCCTTTCAACGAAGTCTTATATCCAAACATCCATGTATGGCATAAGCCTTCAACTGCACTTGGTCTGGTATAAATTAAAGGACACTGTGGCTAACTTTTAGGGGATATGAGCAAGGAAAGCCAGTGTGGTCCGTGGAGACACCCCATGCTTTGTATTAAGGACTCCTGCCAAGTGGCATTTTTCACCTTCACCATGAGGCTGTCCTCCCCACATCTCTCTTGTCCCCTTCCAAAAAATGGGCAGGATGACTCCCTTACAGAGTTATGCTAGGTGGAAACTCATTAAGGATAGAAACCAGCAGATGATGAAACATAAAAGGTTTCCTTGCAGGGAAAAGGGTTCAGAGCATGGAACAGGAGCTGCTCCATGATTCAGTCCTGCTTGCTTCTGGTTCTTGTCCTGTCTGTATATAGGTGATAAGCAGAACCTTCAGTACTTGGGATGCTATGAAAGTGCTCCTGAGTGATCCAGTCTTGCCTACTTCTAAGTAGGCATGCAGGGACTTGGTATTCGTAAAATGCTGTTTGAAGGTGCTCCTGGATGATTCAGACCTGCTTGCTTCTGACTAGACATGCAGAAGCTTGTCCTACTTATTTCTGAGTAGGCTTAACATTAAGAAGCCTAAGTAAGACTATCCTTTTTGCTCCACCCACTTTGCCTTTCACCACACCACTTTACCTTTGGGATGTAACCCCTGGACCTTTCTTGGATTGGAATATATCCCTCAGATGTACGAGTCCAGATGATATTTAATGGGATAAATGTGTTATCTTTCTCTACTTATTAAATGAATAAAATGCCATAGGCAATGCACAAAGAAGTATAGAAAATTGAAAGACCAATTTAAATAATGTTCAGGAGGCTATTGTGTAAGATAACTCATGAATGCAAGAGGATATGTGCAGTTGCTTGTTGCAAAGCACTAGCAACAAAGATACCACCTAAGACCAAGATAATGCAATTATCATAGGGACTTCAGAGCCATTGACCTTTCCTTTTTCAATAATCTGTTGCATAACCTTATATTTCCAGAAGGCTATGCTTTACATATTAATTCAAACTGAACACCTTCAGCACCATAAAAGATCACCAACGGCAATGGGAAGAACACCACTTCCTAAGATGCAAAGTTCATTTTCTTCTATATCTCAGACATTGGAAAGAATGAATCATTCACATCCAGATCTTATTGATTATTCACATTTCTTCTGATCTCATTGTCCCTGGGTAACCAAAGTCCATCCCGGCTGGATACTGAACCACCAGAAGCCCAAATGTAATCCTGGTTCTAAAGTTACATACAGAGACAAGTTTGGTGGCACTTCAAAGGCCTGCAGATTTATTTTGCACCAGCTCTTTATGTTCCTTATTTTTATCATCTTATCACAATAACACTGTCAGTCTTCAAGGTGCCACAAGTGTGCAAGACCACGAGCACATCCACACAGCGTTGCAGCACATCCTGGTGAACATTGTTGCCCAAACAAAGAACCTTATACTCCACAGATGATCAGCTCATCGTGGATTGTTACCCCTTTCCACACTTCTCCTCAGCTTTTTCATGGATCTCTCATGGGACACTACAGAAAGACCAACCGGGCCCCCATTTTCAACTCCCCATGGCCTTTTTGTATTTACCCACTCCCTCTTTTGTAAATCATGAAAAGCTGGCTTGACAACTGCTTTCATGAACCCTATTTTGACACCCTCTGAAACCCATCAAAGTTCAACAAGTGCCAACTTGGACATTGCTCCAAAAGGGCTCCAAAAAGTTTCTTTTCCCATTTGATTTGTCTTGACAGCTGTCAAAAGGCAAGGTGTCAAGAGAAAGCAAAAGTGTGAGAAATTTCCATTTGCAAAAGGGGAATGGTGTGCTTTACACCCATTCGCAGCAAAACTCTGTGCTGCCTAACCCTTCCTTTTTTCTTTTTACTGAGACTCCAGGTGCTCAGAAAAGTGCAAAAGTGTATTCACCACCTCTGGTCTTAGAAAAATTGAATTTTGGGTGTCTTTAAATGTTTGTTTTAGATAAGTTAATGTTTTGTTTGTTTGACTTTATGCATGACAGCCTTATTTATTTATTTATTTATTTATTTATTTATTTATTAATTAAAACATTTTTATGCCGCCCCATTCGCCGAAGCCTCGGGGCGGCTCACAATAATTATAATATAAATTAAAAATATAAATATTAAGTTAAAATACCACAATACAGTATAGAATATACCACATATGTATAACAGCTAACTATTAAACCTCCTTTCCCCCTTGGCATGGGCATGAGATACATTTTTTTCACTTTCCCAAGCAGCTAGAGAATCAGGAAAACAGTGCAAAATATGCACAACCTTGAGGACTGTCCAGGACAAAAAGCAAGCAAGCAAAAAGTTGAAGGATCCTGCCATGTAGGATAAACATCTTTGCTTTCTCTTGTCTTTCCTTTGCTTCCCTTTGGCACCTCTTAGGATCAGTGCCCAGGGTCCAGGGTTAACACCTGTTACACTTTGGCGTTGCACAACTGCAAAACTTGACCATCATGTCAGTGCATCTTTATGTGTGTGTGTGTGAATCTACCAGTGCACATGTTGTGTGCAAAACCACAACAACCATCTGCAGCCAATGACAGCCCCTCCCAGATGCTGTTAGGGCACTTTAAAGGAGCTTTCAGTAGCTGTCAAAATGGGATCATGGAAGGTGGTTGTCAAGTCACCTTTAATATCCTCTCAAACATACAGACAAGCAAACTTTCAGACAGGCAGGCAGACATTCATGAGAGGACTTGTGGGCAGCTGGTTCTGGTGAGGGCCAGGCTGTACTTGCTAAGTTTGACAAAAGGTTTTTGCCACTCTGGGCTATGGGCTGATAAATAAATCTAATAGAGATAAACAGCCAATTGTGGCTACCCATGATGGTATCTGTCACTTGGCTTTGGACAACATGACAACCTATCATGGATTCAGCAACCCATAGCACAAGCTATGGATTTTCAGTGTCCTTGTTGTCCTCAAACAAGCTACCCTGCAGGAATCCATCTGGGTGTGCAATACACAGCCAACAAGCATGAGTGGCAAGTCATGATGGATTGTCATGTCACTGGAACCCTGTGCGCGCATGTGTGTGTGTGTGGGAGAGGAGAGGAGAGGAGAGGAGAGGAGAGGAGAGGAGAGGAGAGGAGAGGGTGCCCTAACAGATGAACACCGCTGAAGTTTCTCATACACTTTGGTGGCACTTCCTTGTCAACCTGGCATTGTCAGCTGCTACGTATAACTCTCTGCTGGCTATGTGCTACCTCTGTTAACAGAGGCAGCATGCATTTATCAGTTACTGAGGAGCTCTTGCACCCATCCTGCTTGAGGGGCCCTGGGGGCAGCTGGTTTGCCACGATGTGTGCAAGTGCTGGACTGGATGGGCCATTGGTCTGATCCAGCGTGGCTTCTCTTATGTTCTTACATGTTTAAAATGAACTGAACAGCATGTCACATTTCATAAAACTGTTCTGGAGCATTGTATGTTGTTGGCTCCTTACTTGATCTTAACCAAGTACTAAAGTTCAGGAACATGAATAAAAGAAGTGTCTGTGTTGCATTAGACCAGGCTCTGGAGATTTGGTGACTACTTAACAAGACTGACTTGGCCTGCTGGCATGGCAGTGCTGATCAGCTGATGAGCAGAATTTCAGATTAAGCTCCCAAGGGCTCTGCAGACCACATGGAAACCACCAAAAAGCATATGCAGCCCAGTTTGCCCACTCCCAATAATCAGCAGCACCTGAGATAGACTGCCACTACCAGCCCTCTGGAACAGTGTATGAAATCAGTCAGGAAATGCCTTATCCAGAAAGCTTGGTGCCTAGCAGAATGCACCTCCAATGCTAAGAGTAGGTTCAGTATCTCCACCCAATATAAATTAATAATATAATAACAAGATTTCCTTTCCTACTGTCCTTTCAAATTGATGACTGCAATTGCAGCATGGCTCAGTCACAAATTAGATGGTAGAGAGAAGCATAGTAATTAACAATGAATTTCTGCATCGAAGCACACAGGCCAGGCAGAAAATCACCCTCAGGCATAGTTGTTTCCGAGCATTGCCACTAAACATAAAATTGGGTCCTTGGGGCTCTGCAGGAAGTGAATCTGCAGATACAAAACACTGGTCATATTTTTCACCACCACTGAAGGGAAGAACCACTCAAATACTGAGTTCAGAGATATGGGACACTGGAAAACTCATTCCATTTTGGCTTGATGAACTGTCAATATATTTCTTGCTGACAACCAAAATAAAGCTGAGTCAGAGGATATTTCCCCAGCTTCATGAAACTGTTTGATGTATCTGGAGCCAACAATTTTTCTCAACGTGGCCTTTTGGGGTCCATTCCATCAACCCTGGGCAGGGGCTAAATTGATCAAATAAACAGAGTCAGCACGTGAAATTCTATCTTAAGCATGGGCTACAGCTTGTGTTTTGTTTTTTAAGCTGTGCATAATTCAGGACTCCACTCTGCAAACATGTACAAATTGTACATTGTGAATGTGTGCAGATTGCATAACTTCATGGACATTGTGGTGCAGACATCTCTTTTTCTCATAATTCTGAAATAAACTGATAGGAAATTCAAGATGGCTCAGGTGGAGTGTGTGCATATGTGGGGAGAAAAAGATAGCCCTATACTATTGAATGCTAGAACAACACGGGCAGTGAATAAAAACTAATGAACTAACACAATAGAGTCCTTTGGCTATTGGGTGGTATAA